CCCAGCCTGGACTTCTGGTAGTTCTCTGCTGATGTGCTGTTCCAGTTGTTTTTGGATAATCTTCAGTAAAATCTTGCTTGCATGTGAAACCAGTGAGATTGTTCTATAGTTTCCACACTCTGTTGGGTCACCTTTCTTTGGGATAGGAATAAATTCTGAAAACCCGGGTTATTACTTCTACTAAGAGTTTAGTGAAATAAATATCCTGGTTCATTTAGTAAAAGCATAATAAGCCTCTACCATGTACCAGCCATGGGTGGTGCAAACAATTAACCTGTATGGCTGCTAAGTCTGGAAGTTTGAGTCCACCCAGAGGCACCTCAAAAGAAAGTCTTGGATATATGCTTTCAAAACTGCGGGGAGGGAATGGGTAATTGTGCAATAATAAATGAATATTAAAAAAAAGAGTGAACTGTGGGAGGGGGAAAGGAGGGAGATGGGGTAAAATGTACAGCAATGAATGAATGAAAATGTAACTTCTCTGCAAACATTCATTAAAATAACAATTAAAATAAAATTTTATTTAAAAAGGGGGGGGGAACCCTCCAGCCATTGAAAGTCCTATGGACAAGTTATTCTCCAATGCACCTGGGGTCACCCTGAGTAAGAACTAATTCACGGCAACGGGCACGTGAAGAAAATAGGCACAGTGCTGGGTGGTGTGTAAGGTACAGCACCAAAGAAGACACAGTATCTACTCACAAAGACCTGTTATATGTCTCGCAGCACGTCATTGATGGCCTAACATTTCACACCAGAAAATCCTAAAAGCCAGATCCAATGTAAGCATTTAAAGCAGTTCAGCACCCTGCCCTTTCTTGGGACACATGGACATCATAATCATTCATAAGCATTTGTTAAAGGAATTAATAAGACTTAAAACTCAGGGGGCGACCTCCTCCCTTAAAATTTAACTGCCTCTGAAAACCTGCTGAAGGGTCAGCTACCAGTTGATTCTGACTCGACAGTACACAACAAATTTATGGTGGACTGAGTTGTAATGCTGGAGAAATCACTATACCAAAATAGTCACATTCTCTTTCACCACAGTGAGATAAAAATAGAACCCTAGAAGCATCATAAAAATCAGAATTATAATAGGACTCATTTATTGTCAAACTACACACATCTACTGGTTATGGCAATGTAAATTTTACTTTCTTAAGGTTTATTTTCAATATGTTCTTAATTTTATTATAGAGGGAGTTTGATTTTTATTTTCTTTTGCATTCACAAACTCTATGAGGGGCCTCAATATCATCTAATTAAATGGATTCATAAAATCAAAGGAGGTGAGGGGTGTATAGTTTACTACAGAGGCACATCAACCTGCTCTTCCATAAAATCTCTCTTCCTGCCAAGGTCAGGGAAAGAAAGGCC